TATGCATTATGCAAAAGTGTGTGCTACGGCTTTAATGGCTCCTGTAAATGGAACGTGGAAACGTTTACCGCACGACAAGCGTTTCCGCGTCTAATGTACAGGGTGTTGCAGATACATATTAGGCAGTACGACGGGTTGCGCGGCAAATTTTGCATGGGTAGGCGCGGTTTAATAGGTATAACATAAACTTAAGTTTATGTTATAAAATCACCGTCATTACCTATTAAACCGCGCCTACTCATGCAAAATTTGCCGCGCAACCCGTCGTACTACTTAGTATGTATCTACAACACCCTGTACAGGAGCCATAAGTCACTCATTAGACGACCTTTTACTTTCAGAATAAATAACATGTTGCCATGAAACTAAATATCTTTATTCTTTTAGGAATTGGTCCGGGTCATCAAAAAAGAAATAAAGAAAATTTTATGGATGAAATACGACAGTTGATACGGGAGCCCATAAATATTGACATACAGCAAAATAATCAGAGTCCGTCTCTTGGATTCTGCACCATGGTCGCATACAGACTCGATAGTCTGAGCGATGATGCACGGGACAGGGTGATGATGCATATACTCGAGATGCTGCGTGAAGAACGCCACAGGGATCAAGCTTAGACCCAGTTTTATTTTTAGTTTTAGTTTTAATTTTTTTCTGGGTATCAATCACGAAACTTTTTTCCTAGGATGAAAAGTGAAAAGTGAAAAATTTCTCCATTAACTTCAATGATTAAAATTTTTACTTTTCACTTTTCATCCTAGGGATAAAGTTTTATGATTGATACCCTGTCTTATGTTCATAAGAGTAAAAGTCTCGGTTTGACTTGAATCATCCTCGTAGTTACATCCTAAATCTTTATTAGGACTTTTAACTTTTTCACGCATTTTTTTCTAGCGCGTTTTGACGCTGCGTGAAATTACATAGGATGTAATTTTTCTACTGCTCAATCAAAATGTGATAACATTGTGATAACATAATCACCAATACCATTAAGGCCAGTTTTAATTTTACTTTTAGTTTTAATTTTTTTCTGTCTTATGTTCATAAGAGTAAAAGTCTCGGTTTGACTTGAATCATCCTCGTAGTTACATCCTAAATCTTTATTAGGACTTTTAACTTTTTCACGCATTTTTTTCTAGCGCGTTTTGACGCTGCGTGAAATTACATAGGATGTAATTTTTCTACTGCTCAATCAAAATGTGATAACATTGTGATAACATATAATATATTGATAAATGTTAAATAATAAAACAAATAATAATAATATAATAAATTTTGTGAATATTTTTTATTTGTAACTTCAATAATAAGACTTTACAAGTATAAAACAAATTCGACAGTTGAAGGGCTACGAGTCAGTTTAGTAACAAAGAAATTTTAATCGAAAAATAAATAAACAATGCATAAATATAATATTCAAACGTTTCCAACATATAAGATATGAAGACATTTTGAGAAATTATGTATTCTTGCGAACACTCGTAATTTTACTGTAACATTGAAAATAATCCTATTGGTGTTAAAACGTTTGGTTATATTTAACTGTTACATTTAACTTGTTCTTTATTTGTGTCTGTTATTTTGCCAAGACACCTGTCCTTCATTACAAAAGAAATTACAAAATTCATCGCGCATCTGAATGCAGTTTCGCGTACTGGTATTCGAACCACAATGACCGATATCTCGAAAAGCGCAGCCATCTTCAAAGATTCTCCGCCAAGAACCTAATGTGGAACTACTTGGATCATCAGGATTAATTTCATCCACCATACCCGCAGAAACGTATGTATTTTTATCAATGTCGTCTTTGCGGATCCAATTATGCAGACAAACCGTCGCCTGCACCATCAATTTAACATTCTCTGGGGATGCAATAATTGGTTTGCGATATATTCGCCATTGGCTAGCTAATATACCGAAAGTATTTTCGATAAATCTTCTTGCACGGCTTAACCGATAGTTGAAAATGTCCTGTTCCGATGTCAGTCCATTCTTGCCTGGATAAGGGCGAAGTAAATACGGTTTTAAGGGAAATGCTTCGTCTCCTACGAGACAATATGGCAAAATTCGCCCTCCTGCAACAGCTGATGGCTTCGGTATATTCATGACGTTTGTATTAAAGTTCTTGCCAATAGCACTGTTGCTGAAAATACCTCCATCGCTTCGTCGTCCGTACGCTCCGATATCAACGAAACGGAATACATAGTGTGCATCACAAATGGCCATTAATACTACACTATGAGCATGCTTATAGTTGTAATACGTAGAACCAGCATTGTTGGGATACTGAAACAAAATGTCACAAGTCATGTATACAATAATATTTGTACTTTTATACTTTTAGATTTAAATTTTATATCACCGAAGATGACCAAAGTAAAGGTCGAAACGTTTGATTCTTAATTGTATTTTAATTTAATTTATTTATGATATTATATTGATTTCGCAAAAAACAATCAGTGTCAAGCTCGTACAGCCCATATACTTTTATTATTAATTTTCTATGAATTGAGCTATTATATTAACTATTATTAACTGAAAATATAGTTCATCGATAACCGACAGTACCGATAACGGTAGTGTATTAAATTATTTATACTGGGGGTAGATTGTGTATTTCAAAATGACATGAAATCACACAACCAACCTTTAGAATACATACTTGTATTGTTACATGTTTTCCATCAATGGCACCAATGCAATGAGCGAAATTAGACAATTCTTCAAAATCATTTGCAATTTCGAGCCAGTCTTTTTCTGACAATGCTGGCGGTAAAACTAAAGGATACAAACTGTTCCAAATTGCTTCGCATGTCTCTCGAATAATATGACAAACTGTTGTTACCCCAACTAGATATTGATATGACATTGACACCATTGAATCGCCAGAAGCAAGATACCTAGAACATTGCAGGGATATATAATATTTAAGTAATATCAAAGTAGTAAACAACAGCTTCGTATATAAAATTTGCAGTAATTTAAACGTTTACAAACCTCAATGTTATTGCCAAACGTTCTTTCGGTTGTATGGGCTCTCGAATAACAGTTTCTTTTATCAATAGCGGACCAACAATCAACAATAATTCTTCCATTTGTGTAGCGGACATTCGGAAATAATTGTGGAATCGTACTCCATCCTCTATGGTCAATTTAGGAATTGACACATGATAAAAACTGTGTTCCGGACGATCCTTTAGATATGGTGCCACCCAGTATTGCTTTTTCTTGTACGATCTCTTCTCATTTTCTTGCAACTTTTGCATAATTGCACACACTACCAGTATTCGTCGTTTCCTAATCTCTTTAGCTATCGACGGCAATTTATTTCGCAATGTTTTTGATATATTGTTTGAGCAGTTTAAATTTATTTTTACACGCATTTTTAACCTTTTATTTAAAATTTTACACACGAAATCTGTAGGAAAAACGATTTAATGGTTGGGTAGTGCTAAGTTAAAAAGATTAAAAGTTAATCCTCAGACAGTTTATTACAGATTAAACAGTTAATTAATTTTAACTTAGTTACATTTTAGACTCTTAACTTTTTAACTAAATTTAGTTACATTTTATCAGTAACTATTATTAACTTTACTTTGATTTTTTGAAGTTAATCCTCAGACACAATACGAGAGGATAATGATCGTATATAATTTAGTAATTTTATATTGCATAATCATTACTTGAATAAAAATAACCAGATCAGTTAATAAATATGCCATGAGAAACGAAAAATACGGAAAATTATGTAAAATGGTCAAACTCTTTCTTTTTTTTTTTTTGGGTTGTTCGTTCGGACCAAATTTAACTTTTTGCAATTACTTTTTTTTATCTACTTAACTTTTGATTCAATTAATTTCATTATGGATTAACTTGTATTTTAACTTAGATTTTCAAGGCTGTTAACTTTAACTTAACTAAGTTAAAAAAAAATTTAACTTACTCAACCCTGATAAAATATCAATCTAGCGGCTAATTTCGTCTCCTTTTAGGTTAATGGCTCCTGCCCTTTGAATCTAGCGGCTAGCGATTTGACGCTCCATGAAAATGAAGGAAGACTTTAGCGGCTGGCGTTTTGTCGACGGCGGCTCGTAGGGGGTCAGAGTGGGGAGAGTCGCTAGCGTTTTGACGCTGCGTGAAATCGCACCTTTAGTGGTGAAGCATCTGAGTGGCTCAGTTTTCGTGACACATTTGAGTCTCTAATATATAAAAATGAGACAATCGATCCGATACAAAAATTTCATTACCTGAAGGCAGCGCTGCAAGATGGTGCAGCGCAAATCATTAAATCTCTTGAATTTACCGCGATTAATTACACTGTGGCATGGGAAACCATATGTTCCAGATTTAATAACAAACGATTGCTTACACACAATCACATTAAAGCTATATTTAATATTAAATTGATAAAGGAAGAATCGGCCGCTCAGTTGCGCGAGACCGTCGATATGGTTAGCAAGCATTTGCGCGCTTTAAATGCATTAGATCAAGCGACAGAATATTGGGACGCTTTATTAATTAATTTAATCTCGACAAAAAACTAGATAGTATAACGACCCGGGCCTGGGAAAAGGAGCGTAGAAATGAAATTCCCACGCTGGATGATTTTAAAACATTTCTAAATTCGCGTGCAGATCTGTTAGAGACGTTCGAATTGAACAATAAGTCAGTTGTTAAACTAGATGTTAAATCGAAACAATCGGATCAGTCAAAGGTCAAGTCACTTCCCGTACAAGGTCAAAAGTGTAGTATGTGTAAAGAAGCTCATAAGTTACTAACCTGTAAAAGGTTTCTCGATCTCTCACCTCAAGACAGAGCAAATCATTTAAAAAACGCCAAGTTATGCCTTAACTGCATAAGGCCGGGACATTTTATTAGAGATTGTAAAGCGGGATCGTGTAGGCAATGTTCAGGAAAACATAATACCTTGTTACATTTCGAAAAAATATCTTCAGCTCGGATAACGCCCGTTGAAGAAACTAAGGCTGCTTCAGTTTTGTGTTCGCATAATCAGTACAACACACATAGTGTTCTATTAGCTGCAGCATCGGTGGTGATATAATGGATAATCATAACGGGGAGCATAAGGTTCACGCAATTTTGGATCCAGGTTCTCAATCCAGTTTCATTACCAGCAGGTTATGTAAAGTGTTGGGATTGCCTACATCAAAGATTTATATGACAATCGAAGCTATTAATGGGAAATCATCTCAGATAGAACATAAATGTAACGTAAAGGTGATGACGCTGTATAATAATTTTCAGTTTGACATGCAGTGCTTGATAATCCCGGAAATCACAGGACAATTGCCAAGTCTATACATTGATAGACAAGGATTGCAAATCCCCACTAACATTAAACTCGCTGACCCTTTTTTCCATATTCCAGGCAACATCGATATTCTCATAGGAGCTGACTAGTTCTGGAGCCTACTTTGCGTAAGACAATTGAAGGTAGGAGAAAATCAGCTCACCATGCAAAAAACCAAACTAGGCTGGATAGCAGTGGGTCCATGGAAGAGCAGCTTATCGAAGTCTATCAAATGTAATCTTAGCAGATCGATCGATATTGATAGGAATCTCACAAAGTTCTGGGAAATCGAGGAAATCGAAGGCGAAAGGGCGTGGTCTAAGGAGAAAAAGAATGTGAAAGGCATTTTGTGGAAAATACATATCATAACACAGATGGCAGATTCGTGGTAAGCATGCCGCTCAAGGAGGATGTTAGCAGGCTTAGTGAGTCCAAATCAATCGCTCTTAAACGTTTTTTCAGTCTCGAGAAAAAATTGATAAAATGTCCGACTCTTAAGGATCACTACGTTACGTTTCTTGCAGACTACGAAAGATTAGGACACATGATCAAGGTCTCTGAGGAATCAGCACACGCAATCAGGAGACACGGTAGTGTCTCCGGCCATGTTAAAAAAAAACTACTTCAAGAGATTAATGAAAATGAAATGAAAGAAACTACAAGTCTCTTATCCCGAGCCACCAAAGTGCATTCTTCGGGGGTGTATAACTACTAAAATATGAAAAATTTTGAAACGCACGTAATATATCCTGGAAGGCCGCATCGCCACGAGTAATTTGAGCTAAAAAAAATTAAAATCGGTCAAACCGTTCTGGACATATGAGCGGTCGAAAAGTGATGGTTTTCGTGAAAAATGAATACGTCTCCTTCTTCTTCTTCTTCTCTGTCCGAATTCAAGGCCGTATTAATTACTTTTACGTCCTGTCTCACCTTTCACTCACACCTCCACCATCTTCGACCCACTCCTTCCCCTCCCCCCAGTCCTCTCTTACCTTTCACTCACACTTCCACGAACCTTGACCCGTCGCACCCCCTTCCCCTCCCCTCCTCCTCCACAACCCCCCAACCGCACCAACCCTCTATTTTCCGCCCTATCTTACTCTCTTTCATCTTCTCTCACCCTCTTTTGTCCTCTCTCACCCCTGCCTGCTGAAAGTGTCCGATGGTCACTCAGGGTCGTGACCTTGACAATATGAGTCAGGGCCATTTTAATTTTTTTGCATAGCTTTGTAACACGTGATGGGTGATTGCTACAACCTTTCGAAGGTTGTTCGGTGTGATGACCTTCGTAATGTGTGGAAGGGTCAGGGTCATCGGAAGTGAACTGTATATTTTTATTTTAATACCTTCTTAATGAGCAGCGGTCGCCTGATTCTTCAGAATCGTTCGATTCTTTTCTCTTAAATTGATTTAAAAAATCGTGGCCTCGAAAATGAATCAATTATCAAAAAAATTGATTCGATTTCAGAAAACGGCATCACTATTGTTCGGTGTAATGACCATTCATAATGTGTGGGAGGGTCAAGGTCATAGGTGGTGAACTGTGCATTTTAATTTTAATAACTTCTTAATGGGCAGCGGTCGCGTGCTGAAAGTGTTCGATGGTCACTCAGGGTCGTGATCTTGACAATATGAGTCAGGGTGATTTTAATTTTTTTGAATAACTTCGCAACGCGTGATGGGTGACTGCTGCAACCTTCCGAAGGTTGTTCGGTGTGATGATCTTCGTAATGTGTCAGGGTCATTGGAATTGAATTGTCCATTTTAATTTTACT